CTAGATGGTGCCCGGCTACCACCAAGGAACGTCCTGACAGGGAACACAACAGAGGGTCTCTGATGGAGCAGTAAAAGGATGGGGTGCAGAACTCAAATTCTAGTAAGAATACCAGACTTAATGGTCTGACTGAGACTGGAGGAGCCCCAGAAAGCATGGCCCCTGGACTCTATCAGCCCAGAACAAAAACAATTCCCAAGGCCAACTCTTCAGACAGGGATAGGACTGGACTGTGGGACATAAAGTGATACTCGTGAAGAGTGTGCCTCTTAGTCAAGTAGATACAAGAGACCAAAGGGGCAGTTTCTGTCCAGAGGTGAGATGGGAAGGCAGAGAGAGTTAGGAGCTGGTTGAATATCATGGGGATTCAGGGGCGGAAAGGAGGAGTGTGCTGTCACAGAATGGGGTGAGCAATTAGGGTCTCATAACAAGGTATGCATAAAAATTTTGTATGGGAGACTAACTTGAAAGGTAAACTTCATTTAATTACAACAATAATTTTTTTAAAAAAAGCTAGAAAATAGAAGCACCATACGATCCAGCAATCCCACCCCTTGGAATATATCCTAGAGAAATAAGAGCCATCACACGAATAGATATGTGCACACCCATGTTCACTGCAGCACTGTCACGATAGCAAAAAGATGGAAACAACCTAGGTGCCCATCAATGGACGAATAGATAAATTATGGTATGTTCACACAATGGAATACTATACAACGATAAAGAACAACAATGAATCCGTGAAACATCTTATAACATGGAGGAATCTGGAAGGCATTATGCTGAGTGAATTTAGTGGGTCACAAAAGGACAAATATTATATAAGACCACTATTATAAGAACTCAAGAAAAGGTTTAACCACAGAAGAAAACATTATTTGATGGTTACGAGGGTGGGGATGGAGGGTGAGGATTACTCACTGACTAAATAGTAGACAAGAATTATCTGAGATGTAGGGAAGGACAGCACACACTACAGGGGAAGTCAGCACAACTGGACGAAACCAAAGCTAAGAAGTTTCCTGAATACAACCAAACACTTCAAGGGACAGAGTAGCAGGGGTGTGGGTCTGGGGACCATGGTTTTCAGGGGGCATTTAGGTCAACTGGCATAACAAAGTTTATTAAGAAAATGTTCTACATCCTACTTTGGTGAGTGGCATCTGGGGTCTTAAAAGCTAGTGAACGGCCATCTAAGATGCATCAGTTGGTCCCACCCCACCTGGAGTAAAGGACAATGAAGAACACCAAAGTCACAGGGTATTAGCCCAAGAGACAGAAAAGCTACGAAAACCAGAGACTGCATCAGCCTCAGACCAGAAGAACTAGATGGTGCTGGGTACCACCAATGACCACCCTGACAGGGAACAGAATAGAGAGTCCCTGATGGAGTAGGAGAAAAGTGGGGTGCAGAACTCAAATTCTAGTAAAAAGACTAGACTTAATTATCTGACTGAGACTGGAGGAACCCCAGAAAGCATGGCCTCTGGACTGTCTGTCAACCCAGCACTAAAACCATTCCCGAGGCCAACTCTTCAGACAAAGATTGGACCGGGCTATGGGAGAGAAAATGATACTCGTGAAGAGTGTGCTTCTTAGCGCAAGTAGATATATGAAACTAAATGGGCAGCTCCTGTCCAGAGGTGAGATGAGAAGGCAGAGAAAGTCAGGAGCTGGTTGAATGGACACGGGAAATCAGCAGTAGAAAGGAGAAGTGTGCTGTCACAGTACAGGGAGAGCAATTAGGGTCACATAACAATGTACACACAAATTTTTGTATGAGAGACTAACTTGAATTGTAAACTTTCACTAAAGTCCAAGAAAAAAAAAAAAAAGAAAAAGAAAGCCTTATGGGTCACCACTAGTTGGAATGACTTAACAACAACTGGTTTTCTTGTTTTTGGTAATTTGTAATGTATGATAATTCAAGCTGAATCTAATCTATACTTCATACTTTGAAAAGGCTATGATGAATAATAATAATAGCTAATAGTTATTGAACACTTCCTCTGACCACATGCTAAGTGTTTTTCATGCGAAGTTACTGACCACATGCTAAGTGCTTTTAATGCAATAGCTCATTTAATCTTTAAACCAACATTATCAGACAGAAATTATTGTTCTCATTTCCACATGAGGAAATTGAGGCTTAAAGATGTGATGTCATTTGCCTGAGGTCATGCTGTGGTTAAGTGAAGAAACTGGGCTTTTAAAGCAAAGTGTGTCTAAATCCAAAGTCCCAGGACCTTAAGTACTATCCAATACTTCATTTACAATCCTAAATAGTACAAAGAAAGAACACTAACTAGTCTCTTATAGTCTTTCAAAATAGAAACACAGAATAAAATAATTTGTTTTAAGTACTATATATGTTTTAGTATTAAATACTGAAATAATTTACTATTACCAACCATTCTTTTTCATTAAAGCAAGTCCCTTCCTCTGCTGGCCACTTCATTAACCTAATCTACTTACTATTTATATTGAAATATAATAAAACTCTATTTTTTACAAATATAAACCCCTAATTCTTCATTACATGAGACTAGTCCCTATCATTAGCCCAAATTTGTGAGAATTTAGTATATTTTATTAAAAAACTAATAATCCTGTAAGTTACTGATTACAAGCTCTGAGTATAGAACAAATTCACATATGCACACACATAACTGTACGGAAATTTGTATTCTCTTTCTTCACCTTCAGCTAAGCTTTGGCTAAAAGTTGAGTAGGGCTACCAATATTTTCACAGCCAATGCCTATTTCTTTTCAACATATGCTTTCTATTCAAGCTGCCAAAAACAGAACTCAATGATGACAAAAAGCACACTTGGGCAGAATATGACTATGTTTAGACAAAATAATCCAGCTTCAGATGTTTTTCCATCATGGTTCTCCTGCTTTGCCTTTAATAAATGTGTAAAGTCTTTGTTAATTCTATTGCTTTTTAATATGATTATATCCTTAAAACAGAAAATGAGTACATAACTACTATACTACACTAACGTAACATCAGTTTGGAAATACAAATCGTAAAATATTCAGGAGACTCAGAGGTAAAGCCTTAATAGCCTTAACTGCGGAAGGATCTTTCATTACATGATCATGTGAAATTGGGCCAGGGACAGATTATGCAGTAAATAATATCCAGGGAAATGTTCGTCTATAATCTCTTCATTTGACATATATAACATTCTGTGTGACTGCATACTCTGTTATACGATCCTGTTCTGAAAGAGAGTATTATAAATACATACAAGAAAGGGGTTACAGCTAAGCCCAAAGTGAAAAAACTCTCAATTTTTTTATGCTATTAAATTCTCAAACATAACACTGCATTAATTTTTTGCATAAATTCATATAACTTATATAAATATTTGCTTTTAAAACTTGGGAATGGCACCACCAGGGCAGTCCAATAGCCCATCTAGTCTGATATCCTGTCTTTGACAGTGACCAATGTTGGATGTCTCACAGGATAGCATAAACACATAACATAATGTATATAATTATGTGCCACTACACCATTACCACAGATGGTGGTTAGATTAGATTCTGAAAGAAATGAAAACAAATCCCAACCCCCATCCCTCCCCTACTCTATAATTTCCCAAAAGGTGATGGAAAAGCCTCCAATGAAACACAAATTTAACCATAATATAAGCCAATGCTGTATTATGTAACACAGAACTTACTAAGAGATGATCTCCTAAAATGAAAAGCTACACTGAGAAATAGAGCCTAAGCTCATCAAAAGTTATGATTTGAATAGGGGAATCCTAATAAACTGAAAAGCATCACATTCACTCAGTTAAAAAGAGTTTTCAAAACAGATGAAAAAAATTAAAGCTTAAAAAAAAACTATGCCTTTTACTCAAGTTTTACCATTTTGTTATATGTAATTCTGTTTTCTAGAAAATATGATAATATTTGTATTTTCAGCTCTTCTAGGAAACAGCATTCACACCTGTTTTGTAATGATTTTAAAGTAACGCATGGATTTAATAAATGTTCGTCTAAGTGTACAAAATCACATAATGCAGAAATTTTGGTTTGGTCCTTCAGGAAGGACTGTTTCCTAAACAATTACAGAGGGAAAAAAAAAAGAGTATCATACTTTTAAAGACCTTCGTGGTGAAGATAATTCTCTAGATAGTATGCTTGGGTATTGATTTTAACAACCCTTGTCGTCAGGAAACACTTCCTGATCTAAATCCTCTATGGCACAATTTGAATTCATTTTCCCTTTTCCTGACCTCAAACAAGTTGGATAAAACCAGGTTATATCATAACATTTCATATGTTTGAAAGCCCTTATTAAGGTCTTCTTTTCCAGGACCAAATAATAGTGCTATACTGAATTTAGTCTTATGATTTTTATATGCTATGTATCATAGAACGAGACAGATCTCAAAAATTGTTCATCCATATTTTTAGCAAGAACTGTTCCACCTCCTAATACATTTTTCTCAAAAAAAAAAATCTATATTTCAGAACAAACCCCAAAAATTCAGAAAAAATGTTTATGAGAGATGGGAGCAAGGAACAATGCATATAAAATTCCATGCTGAAACTGCTTCCTTCCCTAGAATAGGGGATCATTTAATAAAATGTATCTCTCAAAACCTCTGGGGCAGAGCTGAAGCTGCAGCGCAGTATCATAAAATCTGCAGCTGTGTTGCTGTTCTTAATAGTCCACACTGCTTCCTGAGACTGCACAGGAAGCCAAAACATACAAGGTCAGAACTGAACTTACCTTAACAGGAACTGGCCAAAGCAGCAGAGCAGTTATGAGAGACCACGCATCAAAATAGTTACTGAAAAGATTGTACACACCCCTAGGAATCTTCTATTCAAGCAATTTGCTCAAGGAATTTTTTACTCAAGGAAAGCTGTATCTATTTATGCTTCCAAACATCAAATCTTTTTTTCAGGAATAAAAACTACAGGCTAGGCAAATAAACTTTACTATACATAAGTAAGCACTAATAACTTACTTTTATTGCCCACCAAGGCAACCAGTGGCTGAGTTTCTGACTCCTCGCTCACTTTCTTCACCACAGAATACCAATCTTCTAAATTCTCAAAGCTTTGGTAATTTGTAACATCATATACCAAGAGGATTCCCTGTCACAAAAGAGTTACACAATATTTGTAATGCACTACTTGAAAAAAATATATTAATACTGATTAGGTTTGAATAATGCTTCAGCTATGTCAGGCAGAGTGTAAAAATACAAATGTGGACTGTTTTATACCCAAACTGACTTCAATTTAATTACCAGCAGAGAGATAACAGTGAATTATTTCATTCAAGATAAATCCAACAATTAAGATGCAATGCAAGCTAAAGGATAATTTCATCAAAATTGTGAGTTGTTTCCCAACTTAATTAAATATCTGGGATATGCTTAATAAACAACAATAAATATAAGAGTATCATATCCCAGAAGAGGAAAAGACTGTAAGGTCTATCTTTATTCCTGCCTCTTGCCTTCATAAAGTCAAACATTTACACTTTTCAATAAATAACCATCTGCTGCTGCTGTTTTTAAATATTTTCAAAAATGAAGATTTCATGACATCCCTTGATAGCCAATTTCAGTGTTTAGCACAATTTTCCTTAAATGATATAAGTCAATTTCCTCTTTTGGTCCTCTGTGCATTTGAAGTACAACTTGAGAGTATCCTCCTTATAATAACCCTTCATATACTCGAAGATAGTTAAGCAACTCCTTTACAGTCTCCTTTCCAGAGTAAACAAACTCAATTCCTTAAGCTTCCCTCAAAGGACCTATTTTCTACCCCTTTAATCACAGTTGTTGCTTCTTCCCAGGACACACTACATACAGTTTTTTCACATCCTCTTTAAAACAAGTAATGTAAAACTGGACATGATACTGTAATAAGAGTCTGAGCAAAGCCAAATACAACAGAGGTGATTGCTTCTTGCCTCTTATATACTGTATTCCTTTTAATAGATCCCATTATTTTATGTGGGAAGGAGGAGAAGTATATATACACACAAAAATAACAGCACCACATTCTTGATTCTCATCCAGTTTGTAGTCAAACACTTAATACAAAACTCCACATACAAGTCTAAATAAGTTAAAAGTCATTGGCCCCTAATGACATTTATGTTTATTTCTTAGGTAATAATGATAAATGTCAACTACATTTTTTCGCACCTACTATGTATCAGACGGAGCCCTGGTGGCACAGTGGTTAAGAGCTCGGCTGCTAACCAAAAGGTCAGCAGCTCGAATTCACCAGTTGCTCCTTGGAAATCCTACCGGACAGTTCTACTCTGTCCTATAGCTCGCTATGAGTCGGAATTAACTCAACTGCAACAGGTTTTTCTTCTTCTTCTTCTTTTTCTTCTTCTTATGTACCAGACACATATCTAGGTCTTTTCACTAATCCTCACAGTGATCATGCAAGGCTGGTATTATCCCCATTTTACTAATAGACAGAGGTTAAAATAACCAAAGTCACACAGCTAGGTAAGTGATGGAGCCAGAATTTGAATCAAGGACTAAGGGATTATAAGGTCTATTCATTCATTCTACAAATATTTATCTGCCAACTATGTGCCAAGCATTGTGCTAGGTGCTAGGGATACAAGCTCTGGCCCTTAAGGAACTCACAGTCTTGCAGCAAAGCCCTCACATAAACAATTAAACAAAATAGCAGTCATGGTCAATGTAATGCTGGTAAACATTCATCAACTGGCTTAGGACAAGGCAGGGGGTGTGAGAGAGGGGATGTGATTTGTAGTGTTTGTCAATTTCCATAGTATAAATACTTCCCTGTGGCTGCTTTCGAGACATGCTGTGATGTCACTGAACACAGAGTTGAGTAGCACACCATTTCTACCATACAGGTACAAGAGACAGAAATAACCTCAAAAGCATAAATAACAGAAACATATATGGTAAAAAAATTAGTATGTGACACATTTTGAACATGTAATATCTTTGCTTTTAATATACTATGATTTTTAGTTTATATCATTTAATTTTTAATCCTGTTTGTATTTAACTGGCTCACAAAAATCCCTGAAAATTTAACAATCAACTCTCATAAGCCAGAACAAGCTGCCATTAGCATACTACTATTAGGATCTTCTAGTACTATGCTATTTTATTAAACCACCCTGGTCCCCAAGTCACTAGCTTCTCTGGGTCTCAGGTTTCTTATCTCTAAAATTAGATGGTTGAGTCAGACAGTCTCTAAGATCTCTCCCACCTTAAACATTCTATAATTTTTATACAAAATCACTTGCTCAATTCATTTTGGTAATTAAGGTATCTATTTCTGTCTACCAAGATACTTTCAAATAATGTCCAACAGAGAATTATCTGAAGCAATGAGCATAATCTCATTTTCGTTTTTAGAAATAATAGCCCAGAAATTACCTCTGAAGAAGGCTGATCTTCAACCTGTTGATCACATCTCTGGCTGACATAGGTGACACTATATATTGTTTGAAAAGAGCACTGTCCTAGACATCAGATCCTTTTAGGGTTCAGTCCTGATCTCACATCTAGTGGTCTTAAGCAATACTTCTGTTAACTCACCTTTAAAATACCTGCCATGCCTGAGTGATTAAGTGAAGTAATAAACTTATTTAAAAACTATGGAAAACATTTCTATTTAAAATAGGTATTTTACTTTTATTTCAAGAGGCTTTTCTCACCCACAAACCTAAAAATACCTGACCCAAAATTGATCTTGCCTGCAGCTTCACTGACCTGTTTTTTTCACACAACTTTGTTGGGTTCTCTAGAGAAGCAAAACTAGTGAAGTGGATATACAGAGAGAAATATTTATCTCAAGGAAATGGCTCACACGGTTGAGGAGGCTGGCAAGTCCCAAAGTCTGTGGATCAGACATCAGCTGGAGGCTTCTTCTGACTCAAGTGGTTGCAGGGGCTGACAAGCCCAGAATCAGCAGGTCAGACAGCAGACTCCTGGCTCACAAGGCTGCAGAGCTGGCAAGTCCCAAAGTCACCAAGTAAGACGACAAGTGGCTAGCTCAAGTCCCACAAACCAGAGGTCAGATGCTGACGAATCAGAAACAGGATCCAGAGCAAGCAAGTGAGCTTTCCCAGAATGTCATATATATGTTGGGTGCACACCTCCGAGGAAACTCCCTTTACAACTGATTGGCTAATCACATAAGAGCACATCATGGAGGTGATTACATTATATTACTTATGGGAGATCACAAAATGCAGGATAATTACATTAGATCACAAATGGAGGATAATTACATCATATGACCAAATAGAAGATAATTACATAATACTGAGAATCATTGCCTAGCCAAGTTTACACATAACATTAACCATCACAGTTGCTAATTGACTTTGCAGCATGGTTAAACTTTTTTTTCAGCTTGAAAAGAGCACTCAAGCACAAACCCATTACCTCATGATTTAGTGAAAAAGACATTATGCTTCCTTAATTTTAATTTCATGAAGTCTCACAACTACAAATGGGTAAAGGGTCAAATTTTCAGAAGTTGTTTTCTAATGCTAACTCAGTAACCATGAAGTACTTCATTGCCATGGAAACTTGTATTCATTAAGCAAAAATTATTTAAGTTGCTGTGAAATCTCAATTATATGGAAGTAAATTCCTCTTGCACAAGAAGAATACTGCCTCAATTTACAAATTGTTTATTAAATCATGGAGCAATCAAATAGTGTTATTCTTTTGAATTAATATAAGACTTTATTTTAAGCAAAACTAACTTACTACATAATTGCAGGAGATTTTTGTTATTACTCTGAGTGAAACAGAATCACATTCTCAGGGCAACTTTGAGATAGGTTTTACATTCATAGAGTCTAGACCTTTGATGCCTAAACCTTGAGGTTTTTGGAATCCTTCTGATTAGTATATGAGAAACTTCATCCCAACTTGCAATACCTGGGCATGACAGCATATACACAAATAAAACATGGCTACCTTTTACCGATTATAAGTGCTAGACCAAAGATATGGGACAATAATTAAATACCATTGGTCAAAACCAGGAGTCAGTAAACTATGGCACACAGGTCAAACCCAGCACACAGTCTATTTTTGTAAATAAACTTTTACTGATACATAGTCAAAATCATTCATTTAAATATTGTCAATGGCCACTTTGCACTACAATGGCACAGCTGAGTAGCTGCAACAGAGACACAGGGCCTGCAAAGCCTAAAATATTTACTGTGTACTCTTTACAAGAAAAGTTTGACAATCGCTGATTTAAACCAAGTGTTCCAGCATTTTTCAGTCAGTGCTACCTATGAATCTTCTAGAACTAATAAGACAGAGAGAAGGATAAACTTTTTATTAATCTAGCGTCTACCAACTCAGACATCTATTTCTTCAGATACCCCATTGTCAATGCCATTTAATGAAAAAACATGTCTTCGTCCTTGCTCTTAGCATCACATTTAGTACCAGTTTTGACCTTCACCACGGTAGTGAAATTTTGAGAAGGAAAAATGAGAAAACGAAAGATACTAAAATACACAACAAATTCTAGGGCTTTTAATTTCAGCTCCAAAATCTAAACAGCTTAGAAGTCATTACTCCTGTCCTTAAAACAAGAAAAAATATTCAGCTTCTCTTGGATACATCAGAGAACTGAGGTCACAAGGCAATTTGCCACCCAAAAATCTGGAGAGACAGTAAATCCAGAGAGTTACAGCTGAGATCTGCTTACCTAGAGCAGAGGCTGCTGTAGCTAGTATCAGTTAAATGGTTATTGTTGTTAGGCGCTATCGAGTTGCTTCTGACTCACAGTGACCCTATGTACAATAGAACAAAATACTGCCTGGTCCTGCACCATCCTCATAATCATTATTATGCATGAGCCCATTGTTGCAGCCACTGTGTCAATCCATCCCGTTGAGGGTCTTCCTCTTTTTCACTGACCTCTACTTTACCAAGCATGATGTTCTTTCCAGGGACTGATGCCTCCTGATAACATGTCCAAAGTATGTGAGCCCAAGTCTCACCATTCTTGCTTCTAAGGAGCATTCTGGCTGTACTTCTTCCAAGACAGATTTATTTGTTCTTATGGCAGTCCATGGTATATTCAATATTCCTCACCAATACCAT